GCGTAACATACAGGGGGTTTACTACCGCCCAAGGTATCAATTAGACTGCGAAATCGTGATCTTGATAGTAACTCCAAATAAAATTATAAGGTGTGAAGATAAAAGAAATAACTGAAACTGAAGCGAAGAAAAAGAAACCTTTTAGAGGCAAAGGCATTCGTTTGACTTAAAGTTCATATATCTCATGGTTTTTTAAAATGTATTAAACAACATGATAACGATTTTTAGGACAAAGAGGATCAAGTGACTGCTGTATTAACACGGGCGGAAGGTTTAAGCTCAGAAAAACAAGCCAAAGAAGCTATTGTCTATGATGATATGGCAAAATGTCTACGAGAGGTTTTTTTTTTTTAATCTTACTTATTTGCTTCATTTATTTGAAATCGCTAGTAAGCATTAGCCATTCAGTTTCAAAATATATCTCTACTTTGTTCAAATGTAGTAATTGTTCTTTCTTTCCACAGGCATGGCAAGGATTAAATAAACAACTTCTACTGCGTGGTTATCTTCTTAGAGAAACTTTGAAGTTCTATCAGTTGGCACAGCATCATGAACAGGTAGATAACTGTTGACTGAACTCAGATTTCTTATCTACATATCTATTAAATGTACTTATTTTTATTTGAAACCATTTTCTTAAAATTTCAGCTTGTAAACACAGTAACAGATGCCCTGAGAAGGCTCATGTCTAGTGAAAACGGCGAGGATACTACTATAGCCGCAAAGAAGATTGAGCGTACCGTTAATGGTATGTCCAGGAAACTTAACATATACTGTCTCTAGAAAAAATTCTTGACTGTAGAACTGATTGAAACTACTGCACAAGCTGTGGACGTTGGTTCATCAGTGATTGCTCAAATACGAACGCTTGGTCAACTTAGTGATGATCCTCAACGGCCTCAAGAAACTTTAAATGCTTGTGTTCTTGTCGAGAAGGTGATGCTTAGGTGAGTTACTCAAGCAACCATTAGTCTACGCATGGCTTTTTACCTTAGCACAGTTCGCATCCATCAAGTAGTAAAAGTTTTGACAGAAGGGTACACAGGTGGCGTTAGAACTTTTCTTAGTACCAGAAAATCATTGTTCCGCATTCTTCATTGAGAAGTTCTATAAGACAAAAGCAACCTATTTTGTCTTACTCTGATGATGGTTCTCTAAGAACGTTATGACGCTACAGCAGAGTATTAGATTTTCAATTTAGCAACACGAGCTCTTGCTCTGAGTTCTTCGTGATTAACACCTGACCTGCAAGAACCTCGTCTATAATCCTACGCTCTTATGAT